AGGCACCGCGCATCTCCTTCCTTTTTTTTTTCCCGCGTGTGTCTACACCAGGCGTCCTCAAACTTATGCCCGCGGCCACATGTGTGGGTGTTATTGCCCGTTTTTTTTTACTTCAAAATAAGATGTGTGCAGTGTGCATAGGAATTTGTCCATTTTTTTTTTTTTTTTAAACTATAGTCTGGCCCTCCAACGGTCCGAGGGACAGTGAACTGGCCCCCTGCTTAAAAAGTCTGAGGACCCCTGGTCTATACTCGGGCCACACAGATGCTGAGAGGCCCGGCCCATGGCATGAAGAGCTCTGGCTCTAGAGTCTGACATTTCTAGTTCCAAATCCCGCCTCTACCACCTCTTAGCTGTGTGACTCTGGGCAAGTCACTTAGCCACGCTGTGCTCCAGCTTCCTCATGTCCACGCCAGGTGGAGAGGAGTGAGGCACGCAACGCCCGGTTCACGCGCAGGCTGGCGCAGACTTTTTCTTTCAGCCTTGCCTGTGCAGGGGAAGCCCTTTCTACCGTGTCCCCTAACGGTGTGGCGTCACGGTGCTTTACGTCCCCTCTCTCCCACCGTGCGTCCTCCAGCCTCGGAGGGCAGATATCATTTGTCCTTGTGCCACGTACGGCAGGGCAGAGGCTGCGAGAGAAGGTCCTGGCCGGGGCCCGAGGCAGGAAAGGCGCAGAGTGGGGACACGCAGCCTGGGCGTCAAGGCCGCCTGGCCTCGCGCGTGCTGCTAGCCACGTAGACAGAGTGAGCCCCCGACCTCGACGTGCCAGCGGAGAAGCCAGCCCACCGGGTCCTGCTGTGCAAACGGGGGAAGGCTGGGATCCCTGGACGTGGCCCAGTGTGAGGATACAGGCCCCAGGCGACACGGAAACCCAGACAGCCCTGAAACCTTTAACCAGACGTGCCCACGGCCCCGACACTGTTTTCAGCTCGAGTCCCTCAACGGCCCTCACACAGGACGGGGTCCCACTTGGACAGGCCAGGTCGGCCAAGACCAGCGTTGGCCCAGGAGGGGCGCAGCCTCTGCTGGCCCTGACACCCCGGCAGTGGGGAGCCGGTGCTGGCTCCCACCCAGCTGCCCACTGCCTAGTGGTGCGATCTGGGCCCAGTCCCTTCATCCATGGAATGAGGATACACTTCCCCGTGGGCTGTCCTGGGGTGATCTGGAAAAGCCCCCGTAACAGTCTACGGCACCGCGCAGAGCAGAGATCACAGGGGGGGCTGCAAGAGCACCCTCCCTGCCATGCTGGGCCCCGATCCGCGCCCACCCCCCAAAAGGAAGTCAACGGCGCCACCCTGAGCACAGTCCCCGAGCCGTGGGCAGCCCCTGCCGTTCATCTGACCACACTGAGCTGCGATGATCTGTTTGTGTCTCTGGGGGTGCACAGAGGACGAGGACCGCTGATGTTGCCCTTCATATTCCCAGCACCACGCTGGTGCGGATATGCGTCTGTGGCATGAATGAATGAATGAATGAATGATAGCCGTATCCCCGTGGAAGCATCAGATACACAGTCTGCCCTTGCTCAGGCTCCTGACATGGAATGATTATCTCAACAATAACAGCCACAATAAAAAACGGCCGGGAGGCAGGAAGCCCAGCCTGTGTTTACACTGAAGCCTCCTCTCCCCGGCTGGGCTGCCTCTGTCTCTGGCATCCCAGGCCGGACCCTGGGGCCCTGGGCTTTATCTCCCCGCTCTCCCCTTCCTCCCATTGTCCTGCTGGCTTCCCACACCCCAGGCCAAGGCCTCGCTTTGTCTGGAGGCCACAGTGCCGCCCTGACTGCCCCAGAGGTGGAATCTGGTGCAGAACTGCCCATGCCCCTTCCAGGGAAATGCTCCCCTGACCTTGCCCAGTGACTGTCCCCCCCCAGCTTGGCTTCCTCAGAGACACTGAGGCCACCACTGCCCTGTACCTGCCCCACGCCCAGAGTGCCGGTGATGAGAGGCCAACTGATTAGCTAAGAGGTGGGGTGGTATCAAATCATCACGGCAAATAAGCAACCAGGTCCAGTGAGTGAAAATGCCACCTAATGCCAGCTAGGAGGCCGCGGGCCAGGGCAGGGTGCAGGTCCATCCTCCCTAGCAGAGAGGGACAACACGGAGGGAAGAATTCAAAAGCACCAGAGACCCAGAGGCTTCTGAGGACCCAGCTAAAGAAACATATGGTCACTCGCAGGCCTTAACTGTAAACCCCCAGTGGTGACAGCAAGGTGACGGTCCGGGATGCAGGGGCAGGGCTGGGGCGGTCGGCACCCAGCCTGGGTTTTACGGATCCCTGGCAGCTGGCTAAGGCGCAGAACCCTAGAGCCTGTTTTTGGAGACAGACAGGAAAAGAGCCCCACAGATCCTGGTCTCCCAGTATGAGTGGGACCCAACAGAGTGGCTGACCTCTTCCTCCTCCACTTCCTCCTCTACTCCTCCAGCGACTCGACTCGAATGAGCTTCTCTAATTGTCTCCGCGATGGAAAACGCTGAAGACAAAAATATCTATGGCAAAATCACTCCTGTTCATTTTGGCCTTAAACCTAAGCCAAGACCTTTCGTTTCCGACGTTGCAACAATGGGGGGACGGCGTGCACGCCCACAGCGGCAGCTCACACGTACCCAGGGCTGACAGCACGCCAGGAGTGCCTCGCTGACCCGCACCCCAGCTCGCGGAGGGCTTCACAAGGACCCGGAGAGTTTAAGAAACCTGCCCAGCGTCACACCACTGGTGAGTGAAGTCAAGGACTCAGCCGCACCTGCTTGGGACACTGGTTCAGGGGCACCTAAATTATACAACTGGGGAAACTGACGCCCAGATCAATGAGTTCTCTCTTTGTCCTCAGGAGCAGGGTCCTGGTCTTTGCTTTGGGTTGACATTTTCCCAGAGAGGTGCTGTGTCTCCTCAGGCTGCTGGGAAGCACCGCTGACAGGGGCTGGGACTCCGGAAGACTGGCCGTCCCCCAAACGCTGGGACTCTCCCTCCAGAGGGACGGGCTGTGGCTGGGACAGCCTGCCCAGCCAGGAACTACATTTCCCAGCCTCCTCTGCTCCGCTGTGGCCATGTGGCTCGTTCTCACCAATGGGAGTGGAGGTGACCTGTGTGTTTCCAGGAAACAGCAGAGCCCTCTCCACCCTTTCTTCCTCCTTCCAGGGTGACACTGGAAGCCACCTGTTGAGACGGAAGGAACCTGGGACCCTAAATACTGTGTGGAAAGTCACTCACCAAATGATCTCACTACACTGTTGCTGAGTGACACATAAATTTGAACTGTGTAAGCCACTGAGATTCAGGGTTTACCTCCTACGGCACCTGGCACTGCCTTAACCCACGTACTAGCCTTGGGTTCTCCATGATTACCAACCAGCTCATCCACAGCCTTTCTTGACAATGTTGAAGACGACCCTGGCAATCTCTGCTCAGGTAGACGTTCATGCGAATCCGGAAGTACTTACTGAGCACCTCCTGTTCCGGGCCCCACCCATCACCAGGTAGCAGTTCTCTGGTGTCTCTCTCCTGTCACCCCCGCCCCATGCACAGCTGTGACCCTCTCTCTCTCCTGCCTTTCACAGCCAGACTTCTCAAAGGAGTTGTCTGCACCTCTTGTTGCCTTTCCTACATCTTCCACCTGCTTCTCCACCCCTCCGGGTGTGGCCTCCGTCCCCAGTCACCCTCAGAAACAGGCCGAGCCGAGACCCCCTGCCTCCACTACGGCCAAGGCTGGGAGTGTCTTGGCCCCTGGGAACCTCAGTCCCTGCGGCAAGTGGCCTCCCCTTTTAGGGGCACAGCCAAGCCGACCACACAGCCCGTCCACACACCTGATTCCTCCTGCCCCTCGCAGCTACCTGGAGCGATCGTCCAGCTCATGTCTAGGAATTTCTGCAGAAACCTACTGATACAGTTTGGGTATGTGGCCCCTGCAAATCTCATGTTGAAATTGGATCCCCAGCGTTGGAGGTGGGGCTGAGCGGGAGGTGTTTGGGTCACGGGGAGGGTCCCTTATGAAGGGTTGGTGCCCTCCCCAGGTATGAGTGAGTTCTCCCTCCGTTAGTTCACTCCAAAGCTGGCTGTTTAGAGGAGCCTGGCACCTCCTCCTCTCTCTTGCTCCTTCTCCCACCGTGTGACTCACCTGCTCTCCTTTCACCTCTGCCTTGACTGGAGGCTCCCTGAAGCCCTCAGCAGAAGCAGATGCTGGCGCCATGCTTCTCGTGCCGTCTGCAGAACCATGAGCCAAATAAACCTCTTTCCTTTATAAATTACCCAGCCTCGGGTATTTCCTTTGTAGCAAAACACAAAATGGACTAACACACCTATTGTGTGCCAGCCAATGTTCTAGGCAGGGATTAAGAAGAGGCAGAGGAGATAAAGAAGCCCTGGAGAGGCTTGCAGTCAGGTAGCGTAGAGTATATGCCCATTTTTCAGATGAGGAAACTGAGGCTCAGAGAAGCCAAGTGTCTAAAATAACATAGCTGATTAGTGTCATCTTGTCCACTGACCCAACACAGACTTCGAGAGAGGTGAAAAACTTACTGTGCCCCTAACTCATCCTTCCAACGTGGGGACAAAGAAAAGAAATAGAACAATCCCAGGTTCGCCTTCTCTTCTGCCTGATGTTATTATCTGTAATGTTCTAATTAAAAGTCAAGCACTCTCAATAATCCCCAATGAGACCCAAGGAAACGTCTTGGTCCTAATTTAGCTCCATAAAAAACATAGTCCAATATTATATCAGACGGAGTTATTTGACCTTGAAAAAGGTTACAACCCCCGCCTGTGCTTCTGTTTCCCCATGTACACACTGAGGAGTTTAGAGAGCTAAACTAGATGACCTCTCGGGCTTACTGCGATCTTCAACGTCTGTATTCTAGCATATTCCCACTTGCGTGTCAGACGCTGGCAGGTGCTTCACCTGTCCTCCTGCACCTTAGAAAGTTACCATCGTATTGAGCGCTTATCTGGTATGTCACAAGCATCAACTCATCTGTCTTTCATAACAACCCTAGGAAGCTATTCTACAGATGAGGATCCCAAGGCCCAGAAAGTTTAAGTAACTTGCTTAAAATGCACAGCAAGTGGCCGAACCAGGATTTGACCCCAAGTAGTCTAACTCTCAAGGGCTATGGTGGCACCTCCCACGGTCTCATGTACTGCAAAAGGCTCTGTCCATAGCTGCTGAGAAGTGGACAGGGCATCCCGTGACCCTGCCCACTTGCCGCAGCTGATGGGACCAGGGAGGACGCCAGAGCCCAGGGCAGCCCACCTCCCCGGTGTGCAAGGCCCTGCCTAGCGGGAGGAGGCGTTCGGGTTTGCACAGGGGGGTTCCAAGGGCACCGGCCAGTTGGCGGTGAGAAGCTGAACCGCATATCACGAGGACATCTGCAGGGCTCAGGCACCAGGTTTTTCAAGGTCAAGGTGGGTGAGCAGGGAGAGCATGAGCCACCCTGAAGAACCCTGACCTGAGAGACAGAATTCCTCAGTTTCCTTGTGCCAGGGGCTCAGAGGTGCCCCGTTTTTGCCCCTTGGGCATCCCTGAGCCCTGAGTGTATCTTGACAGCAGCCCCCCTTGACTGGCCCTGGCGCAGGTGGCTCTCGGCGCCCTGTGGTCCCAAGGAGCTTGCCGTACCAAAACCCCTGAGCAAATCGATTCCCCTGCTCCTTGCCAGACACCTTTGCTGAAAGCGACTGTGCCTTTCCACAAAACCAATACGCTTGTGATAACTAAGCCATTGGCTCAGGCTCCGGACTTTTCTGTGATATAGAGATTTTTGCTGTCACAATATTTATTGTAATAGGATTTGACAAATAAAGCACTGGTGTGAGAGACAGTGTGTATAAAAGGAAAAAAAAAGAGAGAAAGAGGGTTTTAAAAAAAAAATCTTCCCAGCTCAAGAAAATGGAAAAAGCAGAGTGCATAACAGAGGGGAGAAAAGTCAATTAAATCATGATAATTACTTCCGCCGCCGTGCCCGAGAGCAGCATGAACGTCTATTAATTAGGAGTTCCATGTTGACTGTGGCCGTTTGACTTCAACGAGGCAGCCAGTGTGCTCCGTGATAACATTCTTGTGGAGAGCAAATGTGTGAAAATATTTTCACCCTGACAATTAGCAGTTTTAAAAAACCCAACACACAGACACACAGACACACACACACACACACAGAGCCAGGTCTGGGCCCCTGGGACTGGCATAATATGCAGCAACTTCTGCTGTGTCCCCAGTCTCCATTCCCCAGAAGTCAAGACGCCCCAACCCCAATCCCAATAATTACCAGCTCCTCCAATCTGCACTGGGCAAAGCTGCCGGGGTGTAAATGCCTCCACAGGAGCACAGAACAGGGGCCTGAAGGGCTATTGCAAAGGGTGATCTGGTCCAGCCTCCCACCCCAGGCAAGACAGGCCCAACCCCTCCAGAGAAGGGCCTGATCAAGATCCAGACACCAGCCACCAGGGCCTGGACTCCAGTGACTGTTCTACACAAGCCATAAGACCTGGGTCAGACAAGATGATTCTCCCTGTGCAGACAAGCAAAGGTCCGAAGTGTTCACTCAGGAAGGGCCTGTCTGGCCCACTCTGGACGGTCTGGGTCAGGAGGGATGTCAGGATCTAAGCCACTTGGCAGACGGGAAACCGAGGTTCAGGGAAGTCGGGCCATATGATTTTAGTGGCAGGGCCAGGACGTGGGCCCTGGCTCCTTGAGCTCCAACCAGGGCCGTCCTAATGATATTCTAGACGCATCTAGGACACGCTATGTCTTGCTTCTCAGAAGAGAGAAGAAGGGAGCCTGGTCTTGGACAAACGCAGGACACGGGGCCACCTGCTTCACCTGCCCTGAGAGCTAGAGATGAAGCACCCAGGCAAGAACACGGGGACGGGGCCCTGCTGGCACTCTCTGGCTGGCTGGTGGGGCTGAGCCAGGAAATCCTCTGGCCCTTGGGCCCCAGGCTGTCCCTTGGCTTCAGAGCTGGGAACAGAGGAAGGTGAGGGCCAGGACCCTGGGAGGACGGCGTCCTGGAGGATGTGCAGAAATAGCGTCCCGGCCCGGGGAGGGCTGCACGGGCAGGGCTGTGCAGGGAAACGGGCTTTCCTGTCATTCTCCCTGCGTCCTGCACCTGCCAAGCCAAACAACAGGACTTGCCCACTGCACACACCCAGCCAGTTGCAAACTTGGATCTCCTGATTCTCGGGCTAGTGCTCTCTGCCCTCCTAACCTAATAAATGCTTAGGGCTACAGGGACAAACCTTGCACCAGAAACCTACAGACGGCCCCGCCACCACCGCCGCTTCCTGGCTGGGTGATCTCAGCCACAGGCCTCTCTCTCTGGCCCCAGACTTTCCATTTACCTCTAAGGACTGACATCCTGCTGGATTTAAACGAAACCTCACTGAGAGAAGCGCCTGGACCTGGTGGCTCAGGGTTGGGACCCAGAGTCAGGTGGCCTGGGTGAGACTCCAGGGGCTGGGCCTCATGTTCACAGACGGGGTTGGGGGGGTTGGCACTTACTCTGCACTGCACCTGGCACAGCACGTCCTCGGGAGTGTGACCTGTGGTCAGTACATATGTTTTTCTACACCCTGGGGGTGGCCTGAATTTCAGTTCCCAAGTCTTCCCTCTTTGTGAAAGATTGAGTGGCCCACACTCTTGCCGTGGCCTTGAGTGGGCAGAGTGACTTTGGGGCTGACCACATGACTCGCTTTGACCGATGGGGTGTCAGCACAGAGGAATGAACTCGCCCAAGGCTGGACAGCCCTCTTGCCCGCTGGTCCCCTGCCGTGAGAAGAACATGTCCCAAGAGCCACTGCCGCGTCTGCCTGGGCCCCAGAATGCACAGGTCGAGCTGACCCCAGGCCCTAGGCAGACGCCGGCCCCAAGAGGAAGACAGACACGGGAGCAGACGCCACCCCCATCTACAGCTCAGCCTGGAGCCCAAAGCTGGGGTCAAGGCCAGCCCGGCCACACTGCAGCTGACCTAGCGCCCACACACATGAGAATAAATGCTGCTTTAGCCACAGAGCTCTGGAGTCTTTTGTTATGTGGCATCATTGTGGTGACAAACAACACAACTCCCATGTCACTCTGAGAAAGGTGAGGGACTTGCTCAAGCCCACCATGCGGGCGGACAGCGAGCCAGGCTAGAGCCCAGGACGGCCCCTTGGCGTGCCCTGGCCGTGCTCCCCAGGGCTCCCTGGGGGGAAGCCACACGGGCCCCGGCGCGCCCCTCCAGCCTCGCACTTCCCTGGGAGGGAGTCTTCATTTGACCCCTACTGTATGCACTATCCCGGGTGGCTCACTGCAGCCCTGGCACCAGAGCCCAGCTGGCCACGGATCCCTGACCCTCGAGAGGGCCGCCTCACCTGGGCCTGGCTCTCGGCCTCGTCACTCTTCCTTGCAAGGACAGGAGTGAGGAGGAATGGGGGGAAGAGGAGACACACAGCAGCTTGGATGGGAAAGGGGCCAGGCTCCTGCACCCAGACAGCAGCAGCCTGGGAGCCAGATCCTCCCGGAAGTCTACAGTCACTTGGATTTGGAGGCAGAATTCACTGCAGTCAGGTAGGCCCAGGGAGCAGGAGGGGACAGGAGAAGCAGCCAGTCTGCCCTGGCTTCTTGCCAGCGCCCTCCGCTGAGTGATGCTCAGGGTGCAGGCTCCAAATGTGCGCGGGCCTCACGTTCTCCGAGGAAGCAGCCCGGTGCTGCAGAAGGAGTGATGTTTGCAGCAAGGTGGGTTCCAACCCCGCTCTGCCCCTTGCTGGCTGCATGGCCAGAAATAATTTCTCTGGGCCCTCAGATCTCCACAGATGGAGAGAAGGGTTGAGACCCACCACCAGGGCTGCCGTGAGGACTGAATGGGCTATGAGCCCCGGGGCCTGGTGTCAGCTCTAAGGCAGCACAACGTGTCAGCGGCTATTATTCTTCTATGTCATTCTGTGCCAGGGCGCTCACAGCACTTGATTCTGATGAACCAGGAGGGGAAATATACAGATGCTGAATTTGCTGCAAGCACAAACAAATCCAGCGTAGTCGCTGGACGATTTCATCATATGATCCAGGAATGGCAAATGTGCCACGCATGCAACCACCTTCTGGATCTCACCCATGGCAGACATCACTAATTGACTACCGCACTCCTTGCTGATCTCCCTAGAAGAGAGCTCAGAATCCTTTTCAGCCCAGTGCAACTGGCAGCTGCTATCATCGATCTACACTGGCACTAACAATTACACCTATTTACCCT